TGTATAATTCTTGACAAGTCATTATTATGAAATATTTGTTATACGACTTTTATATATGCCCCATAAAATTAAAAAAAAAATCTTTAAATAATATTTAATACCCACAATCATCTTAAACACAAATTGAAAAAATATATTTTAAAGAATTAATAGAAATAATGACTAGTTGTTTCAATTGAAAATAGTATGTTTAAAAAAAAAGATAAGCAGGAAAAWTAGACATTGCAGAGTACATTATTTGGTGTAGATTCTAGATATTTTTTTASTTTTAGCATATGATTAATTAATTGAACAACCTACTCATATACAATGCGTTAGGAACAAATAACAATATAGTATACGACATTATGAAAATAGATGAATAGTTAGTCCATTATTATGAAATATAAGAGTAAATAGCAATTTATATTTTAAATAAAACTTAAAACATTTCACCTCGAATATAATTATTAATTATGTAGTAAGCGTCAGTTTTTTTATTCATATTTTAAAAAGTTTAATCAAGGACAAATCCTCCGAGTGAATTTGTTCTTGATAATATTTAAATATATGGTCGTAAAATAGAATTGGTACCTACCTTTTACTAATGATAGTTTATATTGATAGCTTTCCCCTTGCTTATTTCGATCGTTTCCCCGGCATTTGTTCAATATTAATAACAATAATTTTAAGCTTTCTCTGTCAAAGCAATAGCGATTTATCATCTATCGCAATATCTTAATACAATAATTAAGTGACAAACGTACCCGCCCTAGGCGTGTTTCCATTCTTCAGAGCCGATGTGTTAAGACTCAATGTCCGACTGCCTTCYAATTGGTTCAATCGCCGAAGTACATCGGCTAATGTTGATCGRAGACATACTATTTCGTCACCTTGTTCCAAAACTTTCTTTTCTAAGTCACATACACGTTCACGCAGTGATTCATTTTCCGTTTCAATCATGTCATCTGTAAAACCAAATGTTTTGATTTAATAATAATATAGATAATATTAGGTAAAAAAGGCTATAGTTTTTAATTGTTTCACATTATTTATGACTACAACGTTCGACGTTACACCAACATACGAGTAATTAATAAAAAGTATATTTAATTTTTAAACGATAAGTTTTCTATTACCATACGTTTATTGAATGCAATACTAATATTCTTATGTTTTATTCATTTTTTA